CTTCGATGCGGTGGTGGTGGTGTAATAGATAACGGCTCGGAATTGGAAACGTGAGAGCCGAGTTTCAGTTCCAGTCAGTTTTGTTAGCTTCTCTTACGCGCCTTGAGAAAGGTATGAATCCACTTATTCTCCACTCCCAGCTATCGGTTAATTAGTAGGACTGGCTTTAAATAACCCACAAAGTGTTGATAAGCCGTAAAAAACAAATCAATCTATTCACACCAGCATGCTCATCTTGGTTGCTATACCACCATCTGAGTACAGATACCAGGTTTAAGGTCTCTAGAATTTCACAGCTGAGTTGTGAAGGGGCACATGTCTTAGATGAGCTTTGCCTTAAACATATCTTGTTTCCTGATTGTTATGCATTCATTCACTGCGTCTAGTAGAATTGAAAGTGGGAAATATCCCCAAAATATGAAAATCGAACAATCTAATCCTATAGATTGAATAAAGGGTTCGATTTGAAATTCCAAATAGGTTTCGCAGTACTAAAAAAGCTGGGAAGTTTACAACGACCGAAATAGGGTGGATGTTGGGGCGCACCCACCTTCTAACTAGTAATGGACTGGTCCCTCTTATATAAGTCAGCTCTGGAGAGAGAGAGAGAGAGAGAGAGAGAGAGAGCGCGTCAGTGTTAGCAGTCCAGATAAGCTTACCCGGTACATACCGTTGGACTATAGACTTTGGATATTGTTTCGTACTAACCAACCTTCGTTCTACTAATCACTCTATTGTTAATTGCTTTTATGAATATACCAGTATTTTCCTCTACAACTGTGTTTGTCTTGATTCATACACCGACACGCGGGAAACTCACAACATTTCAGTGGATATACCAGATAAGTTGAGCATGTTGTTTCAAACAGCAAAGCATATTATAAACACTGATCAATCAGTTCAGATTCCTTGTATTAAAAAAACAAAACAAACAGATGCTGGTGCACAGGACTTGGTAGAGATCAGGACTGTAATTTTTTAAGCATATATAAAAACCAAACTTTGTAAACAGACTTATGTGGAATGGGGCTTGTCTAAATGCATACCTTATAATCTTATTGATCTTGTCTAAGCTTAACACGGCCTAAAATCATTAGTATGGAGGGCACTTATGGGAAAGATGACAAGTAGAATTTGAATTTCTTTCATCAAAAAATCTTTTCTTATCTATCTATCTATCTATCCAGTAATCATCTCTCGTTCTCTTCTCTCTCTCTTTTGTAGCTCATTCTCAACTCTTTTGTCGGTCTGTCCTCTCAGTCTCTTCTTATATCTATCTATCTATCTATCTATCTATCTATCTATCTATCTATCTATCTATCTATCTTTTCTTTTCTTATCTATCTATGCATATAATCTCTCGTTCTCTCTCTATCTTTGTAGCTCTCCATCTCAACTCTTTGTCGGTCTGTCACTCTCAGTCTCTTCGTATCTATCTATCTATCTATCTATCTATCTATCTATCTATCTATCTATCTATCTGAGTCTTTTCTTATCTATCTATGCATATAATCTCTCGTTCTCTCTCTATCTTTGTAGCTCTCCATCTCAACTCTTTGTCGGTCTCGCCTCAGTCTCTTCGTATCTATCATATCTATCTATCTCTATCTATCTATCTATCTATCTATCTCATCTTCTCTATCTCTATCTATGCATATAATTCTTTTTCTCAAAATTCAAAGATTTTGTCGTAATGTGTTCAACTATCTATCTTCTATCTATTACGTTCTTTCCAAAATTCAAAGAGTCTGTAATGCATCCGGACTTGGACAATTTTTTTTTTGTGGCGTGACATGGCTTCATTGTCTTTTCTACAAATATTTCCAAGGCAATTATTTCTGATGAGCTCTCTCCTCTGTTGCTTCGATTGCCGGAATTTAATAATGCTACTAGATTGAAAACTAGACATCACCATTTTAATGTTGAACTACCTGGATGCTACTCTATGTTCTATTCTAATAGTTCCATTTCTCGTAATTCTTGCCTGTGGAACTTCTTTCCGATTGCTCGCTTCCCTGTCAGCTATAATTAAAACAAATCTTTTGTCTTCCTGAAACTTATCTTTTTATTCTCCGTTTTCCTCACTAAAGTCTTCTCATTCTCTTTTTGTCCTTCTCTCTCTCTCTCTCTCTCTCTATATATATATATATATATATATATATATATATATATATATATATTTTGAACAATAAGAAAATAAAAAATTAAAATCATTAGACACACTGGGTTGTAGATTAATATTCTTTCGTTTTTTTATTATTATTATTCCATTTAGATTCCTCGACTAGTTTCGACCGAAATGGCCATCATCGGGAGGAGAAATATTTCTGCTGTTAGCAGTGAACTACAGAAATGAATGTCTTTTGTTGGAGAAAATGAACTTTTGTCTGTAGTTTTCATTTGTTTTTTTTATTTTTTTATCTTTTTAACATGAATCTTTTAACATTCCTTGTGTTGGTCAAACAGTCTCTTTTAAGTTGTTATTTGAGATAAGAACTGGATAGATACATTTTATCCTGAATATACAAAAACACACACATACACATACACCCAAACACACACATATATATAATGGTAATGATCTGAAAGGTTAACTTACTAATCATTTCTTTACGATTAGGTTGCATTATCAATGCATATGGAAGTATGCAGCTAGTTAACATAGATGTACATATGGAGTTTGATAAAAAGGTGTCAGTGTTATTGCTATGATAACGGAGCTAAAGTACTCAAAGTGAAGCCGCTTGGCACAGATTGACCTTGAACTCTGTCGTGAATACATACTAAGTTATAACGTTCTTTTTCACTACTGCTGTTTATAGAAGTGCTTGGAGGTAAGTGCGTAGAGTGTGGGCATCTCACCAAGTACAGGCTCCATCAGTGACCATGGCTTGCGTAGGAGGTTTTGACTAAATACAACATTCCTCATATCCAACAACCTCCATATTCCGCAGATCTCGCTCCTATCGACTTTTTATTCTTTCCAAAAATCAAATCCCACTTGAAAGGAACAAGATTTCAAAACGTCGAGGAAATGCAAGAGGACCCGACAAGGCAGGTGTTCGCTATACCCCCCCCCAAAAAAAAAGAAGTTTCTGGAATGCTTCCCTCAAAGTCGTCTTCGGCGGGGGCGGGGGGATGGATTACTTCGAAAGCGATTAAATGCTGAATTGATGTGTTGTAGTATTCTTTTCATAGCACCAGTCTCGATACTTTTTGATCAGACCTCGTATATAGACGATACTTTCCTCTTATATCAATAGCAGCTATTTCATGTATTTGCGAAATATGTCAATGATTGACATCCACAGAGATTCCATTTTCTAAAATGTCACGTCTTCATTTTCCAGCTCGTCCCACGAACCATTCTGAGTTAGCGACGCGTTTAAATTGGACTGTAATCTCACACTTTGTAGCCGGATGATGAGAGTTGTCAAAATCGCGAGATTCGATGTATTTTCTATTTTTCTTTTTGCTTTCCACCCAATTTTGTTTTAGAACACCTTCTGTAAAGCAATAGCTAACAAGTAAGTTTGTAAACCAATGATATGACAATGGGTTTGATCCTAAGCTTGGCAAATAGTTTGTTCAGTTGCTTTTATAATCAAAACTAGAAAGTGATCCCGAAAAAAATTAGTATCGTATTTTAAGAAAATACAAAAAGATAATGAATATTGAAATTTTCACCTGATACGTTACAATTTATATATAATCTGTATTATTTATCTTTATATATAATCTCTCTCTTTCTTTCACATTTTTCTCTCTCTATCTCTTTATATATATATATATATATATATATATATGAAGAAAATATCTGGAAAAACAAAACAAAAATCCTTAAAATGCGATTATGTTTTAAATATGAATGAAATGTCGACGTCTGACGTTTCGGTTTAATAACCTTCTTCAGGACAATATTCATTAAAATACACTTAACATAATCAGTATAACACGACGAAAACGATGGACATAAAAACAAGTCTTATCCAAAACAGATAAATGAAAATTTTAAATTTGACGACAACGTGACCACGCTCAAACGGAAAGCTGATCATTTAAAATTTTCATTTATCTGTTTTGGATAAGACTTATGTCCATCGTTTTCGTCGTGTTATACTGATTATGTTAATTGTATTTTAATGAATATTGTCCTAAAGAAGGTTATTAAACCGAAACGTCAGACGTCGACATTTCATTCATATTTAAAACATAATCGCATTTTAAGGATTTTTGTTTTGTTTTTCCAGATATTTTCTTCATTCTGTCGGATTTATATCCATTTATATTTGCTTATATATATATATATATATATATATATATATATATATATATATATATATATATATCAGGCTTATTTAAACTTAGCTTACTTTGGTAAAGAATCAGACTTACTTCTTTTAGACGAATTGTTTCCTCTTTAGGGTGTGGGCGATCATAGTTCTGTCCAACTCTCTTTTGTCGCGCTTAATAATCTTTGTTTCCTTCCTGTCCCTCCCATTTCCTATTCGGCCATCCATTTAATCCTCCTACATTTTGGGATCACCCTTTCTCTGTTGTTTTGATCCTTACCTTTTCTGATTATCCTTTCGCAGTTGTTTTGATCCTTACATTCTCTGATTATCCTTTCTCTATAGTTTTGATCCTTACATTTATTTAATTGGTTTTCCCTGGTGTTTTAATCCATATATTTTCTGATTATCGTTTCTCTGTTGTTTTGATCCTTTCATCTTCTGACTATTTTTTTTCTTTTGTTTTAATCCATACATTTTCTAATTATCCTTTCTCTGTTTGGATCCTCATATTTTAGGATTACCCTTTCTTCATTGTTTGATCCTTATCTTTTCTGATTATGATTTCTCTGTTATTTTGATTCTTACATTTTCTGATTATCCTTTCTCTGGTTGTTTTGATACTTACATTTTCTGATTATCCTTTCTCTGTTGTTTTGATACTTACATTTTCTGATTATCCTTTTTTCTGTTGATTATTTTGATTTT